GGCCCCAGGGGGCCAAATCTCAAATTTCTCAAATCCAGGGAGACCTCCCCCCCCCCCCTTCCCCCCCCCCCCTCCACCACACACACACACGCACGCCCCGGTCCCGCCCACCCTCACGCACCAGAAGCCCGAGGGAATGCTCTCGAAGGGGCTCACGATAGGATCGAGGTCGCTCGTGAAGTACCTCTCATGCTTCCGTACATAGTAACCAAGCGACGAGTCGTACGAACCTGCAGGTTGTCGTACAGAGAGGATCAAACACCGTTTCGTAACACCGCAAGCACAACGCCGCGAGCAGCAGCAACAGCAGCAACAGTGATAACAATATCGGGGTTGCTGGTTAGGTAGGTAACAAGACCGCTCGCACTCCATCCCCCCCCCAACCACTCCGACAGCACAAACCCACCTCCTCCCTTTTATTGTTCCGGGTAATGGATGTGTTGTCCTTGTATGTATGTATGTATGTATGTATGTATGTATGTATGTATGTATGTATGTATGTATGTATGTATGTATGTATGTATGTATGTATGTATGTATGTATGTATGTATGTATGTATGTATGTATGTATGTATGTATGTATGTATGTATGTATGTATGTATGTATGTATGTATGTATGTATGTATGTATGTATGTATGTATGTATGTATGTATGTATGTATGTATGTATGTATGTATGTATGTATGTATGTATGTATGTATGTATGTCGCTCACCCCTCTCCGCAAAGAAGATGAGAGTGGATGCCCCCACCACCACCACCGACACGAAAAACACCATTAGCAGCAGCATGTCCACGGACTGTACGAGCGTGGAGGTCACCAGGAGGAGCTTGCGATACCTGGAAGGAAGGAAGGGGGGGAGCGGGGGGGGGTATGAGGGGCGTGTGTGTGTGTGCGTGTGTATGTGTGTGTGTATTTTACGGGACGGGGGCGGTAAAGGGTGGCAGGAAGGGGGTAAGGTTAGGATGCTGTCTGGGTGCCATCTGGAGGTGTCGTGAACCTCTATACAACATCCAACTGTACGACACGACACATGATGAGAAAAGATAAAAGTTCCCGCATGAAAACACACATAATATTTTAACATTAGGTACGTACATATATACATACTTACTTACTTACATATCTGCAAACGTACCTGGATCCCAGTTTGAGCACCCGAAACACCCTCATCAGGCGCAGCACACGGAATACGGCAGTACCCTGAACAGTACGGCAATGTTTCAACCCCCAGAAGGACAGGGAGGTCGGGATAGGGTTTTAGGTGCTTTAGTTCTTCCATTGGTAAAATCCAAACTAAAATCGGCCCGGGGGGAGGCACAGGCGCCGGAGTTACCAGGGGCACTTTACTTGATTACCGAACGACTGCAATACGGCAGGAAGCGAGAGAGAGAGAGGAAAAGGTTGATGGACGAGGTTGAAAGGCAGGTGGCTGGCGCAGGTAGCAGTGAGAGGGTCGTCGATGCGGAAGTGCAGCGAGAAGGCACGGGTGAAGAACCAGTTCGTGTGTGTGTGTGTAAAATGTGCGTATATATGTATATATGTATATATGTGTGTTATGTGTATATGTGTATGTATATGTGTGTATATATGTACGTATATGTATATGTGTATGTATATGTGTGTGCTCGTCTTAGGGGAGGGGAGACGGAAATCCGGGGGTAGCTCCCTCCCCCTGAGGGTACTTAAACGGAACGTCCGAGCGCTGAAACCCCGCTCATTGCCAAAGGGGAATTCCATCAAAGGGCCGGGAGCTGTACACAGCGGATCCGGGTGGAAAGAGGTGAGGTGGCGAGGTAGGGAAGGAGGGAGCTGTCCCAGGTATTCCATCGCCCCCCCTCCCCCCCCCCACGGCGCACCCCACGGCGGGACGATATCGCATCTCTCGCCCGCATCTCTATCGCTCACATTCCCCCGCACCCCCCCTGTGCCCCCTCCCCCATCGCCCCTCCCCATCGCCCCTCCCCCATCGCCCCTCCCCATCGCCCCTCCCCCATCGCCCCTCCCCCATCGCCCCTCCCCATCGCCCCTCCCCATCGCCCCTCCCCCATCGCCCCTCCCCCATCCCCCCCCCTCTCTCACCTCCATCCCGCTGCTCTCCATCCCCACCTCCACATACCAAGGCACCACCGACACCAGGTCGATAATGTTGAGGGGGTGGAGGAGGAAGGGAAACAGCGCAGGGCACGTGAGCAACCTGCGGTGACGAATGAGGAGAGGGGTGGGGAGGGATGGAGTGGGGAGGAGAGGAAGAGCGGGAGGGGGAAAGACGGGGAGGTGAGTGCTCGTCTGCGTGTGTGTATGCGTGCGTGTATGTGTGTATGTATGTATGTGTGTTTTTTGGGGGGAAAGTGGTGTACTGCGTCCCGCGTGTGATTCCACGTGGTAGTAACGTGTCGATGTTTGGGGGGGGAGTGGGGGGAGTTTGGGTGTACGCACGTCTGGCGTCTGTCCTAACACACGTCCTCTAACACCGGCCATCTAACCCACATGTCCTACCGCCCCAGACAGACATGTGCAAACAAACACGCAAATAAATCAATCTGTCTCACATCCATACATACATACATCCATACATACATACATACATACATACATACATACATACATACATACATACATACATACATACATACATACATACATACATACATACATACATACATATATATATATATACATACATACATACATACATACATACATACATACATACATACATACATACATACATACATACATACATACATACATACATACATACATACATACATACATACATACATACATACATACATACATACATACATACATACATACATACATACATACATACATACATACATACATACATACATACATACATACAGAGACCGCACGAGGGGCCGCCGCTGAACGCGCCGGTACTCGAGGATCAAACGCAGGGGCCCATCGCGGGACCGGGGACGGCAACAGCAGCAGCAACAGCAGCAGCAGCAGCAACAGCAGCAGCAACAGCAGCAGCAACCCCCCTGGAATACGCCCGCGCTCGGGCAGTAGTGGACTTCTGGGCGCGCTTGCGCTCTTTCACCGCGCTCAATGTCCCAAGGCGGGG